GCTAGGATTACAGGCGTGAGCCACTGCGCCTGGCCAATAAAGATTCTTTTTAAACAAGATTCCTTCCTGTTGAAGGAACACATGGGACAAATTACAAATAGGAAGATGCTCATATTATCAAAACGTTGTGAATCTTATCAATATTAAATATGCAAGACTTGTGGTTTTGCTGCAGGCTTAGCTGATCTCTTTGAGAAAGACTTCTTTTCCTAGCTCACCAGTAACCAGCTATACATCTTCCAAATGAAATCTGTTGGGTGACTAATAAAATATGAGCTCTATTTCTCTACATGAGAAAGGCAATGCTTAAGTGCCAAGCTGGGCAGTAATGAGGTGATGTAGATGTTTAGAGAAGGGAGAGACAAGTGAGGGGTGGTTCTGAGAGGAGACTTCTTAGGAGGAGGGGTCTGGACTGCCTTGAAGACCGGGTGAGATTTGCAAGTTTCAGGGGAAGGGAAGGTGTTCCAGGCTTAGGGAACTGCTCCCTTCCATCGGCCCAGATTATCATAGACACGTTGAGTTTAGAAAGCAAAACGAGAAAAAAATTCTCCCTAGTTAGCCTTTCTTGGCTGCCAAAATTTAAAACAAATGTGCCCACAGTTTTCAGGGTGAATTTTGTCTACTCCCACTATTTTTCTACTTAACCATAAGAGTTCAATAAAACAGTGAGGATGAGGACTTTTTTTCTGACTTGTTCTTTATATATTGGCTCTCCTTTTCCAACTCTTCAAAGACCTCTAAAGCACTTTTATAAAAAGGATACACAGCTATAATATAATAAAGAACTAATGTTAAAACACACAAAAAATTGCATTAATGATACAGAGAAGACAAAAAGTGAGAAATTCTGCTGTTAGCCAAATCAGGCTGAAATCCCCTGATAGAACTGATACAGTTACACACACACACACACACACACACACACACACACACACGCCTCTGTTATGGCTGCTGAACAACACTGGGTTCTGCATCCACAGTGCACTGTCCACTGTGAGGCGGGTTTAGAACAGGGACTTGTCACAAATTCATGATAACATGTTGTCAGGAAGATTTCCCTGACTATTGGCATGTTCCATTGCAGATTACTTCCTATGAGTGCAGCAGTGACTACTCCAGCCTACAGTCCTGCTTCAGCCATAGCAACTTGGTGCATACAGGTGGACAGCAAGAGCTGGATGCTCCGTGCTGAGGCAGGTACATGGGCCACCAGCATGGGTGGACTTCAACGACTCCCTCTGCTCCATCTGCACAATCTTGACCTAGGTCACTCATCCCCACAGTCATCATTTGACTGTGATATCAAAATCACCAAACAGAAGACCTTTGCAAAAAATTGAACCAAAGTCTTCCAATATATGAAAGTATCCATTGATCACATTTACTCTCTATACCATAAGCAAAAGTGTACAAGATTACATCAAAGCCCAGAAATACTTATTATTAATTGATCTACAGAGGCTATTAATATCATAATCTTTAGCATTTATTAAAATGGTGACAAAACTCTCCCCTTTGACCAAAACTTTAGTTAGGCTCTTCTGAGTTCTTTGCTTTACTAGGTCCAACCTTGGGTTTCCCTCTCCAGTTAAATCCAGTTTGAGCAAGAATCCTCCTAAGTCAGTTTAGTGAATATCTCCCACCCATGGTAGATGACCACCCTGGCCAGCCTTCAGCAATCATCCTATCGAGTCAGCTTAGCGAGAAACCACTTATCCTTCGTGTTTCCTCTCAATTATTTTCCATCCACTGACTCCCACTCTGCTCCTTGGTTATAAATCCCCACTTGTCCTTGTTAGAGTCAGAATAAAGTCCAATCTCTGTTCACTGCAAGACCCCATTGCCATGGTCCCTATTCATATCTCCATGGCCCCGTTGAATAAAGTCTGCTTTACCATCTTTAACAAGTGGCATAATTTTTTCTTTAACAATATGTATGAGATAATTTTTTTAAATCATTAGTATTACTTTACAATTTACCATGTACTTTCACATCCATTATCTCATTTTATTTTCACAGTCATTCCTATTTAATATCTGGGGAAATTGAGGCTTGGGAAAGTTACGTGACTTTCCACAAGCAGTAACAGAAACTACAGAAGTACGTGTGGATGTGTGTAGCCATTGCTCCCCTAAATGTGTTGTGCACAAACAATGCCCAGTCAACAATTTCACAGGAGTTTTTAGTACGGTCATAAAAAAACTCTAGAGGAACAACGCAAAGCCAGGCCAGGGGACAGGTAGGGTAGGTTGAAACAGTGGAGTCATTTGCAAGTGCTGACCTCTCCACCAGGCAAAGGTGCAGGTCCTGAAAGCATCACTCTCCCACCCCACCCCCAACCCAGGTGCCTGAAACTCCAACATTACAAGCTGATTATGCAATTGAGACCTACACTTGGGTGTAGGCATCTGATGCAAGGCCCAGACATTCCCACGACTTTGAAATCAGCAGATGAGGCAAGCAAGCTCTCTCACCAATTTCTTGAACGAACATTTTATTTCTAGGTATTTTATTTGATTCCCCAATATGTCTTAATATAATAGTTTGCCTGAAGGCTCCTTAGGGCTGCCACTGGTTGTGCAAGACATTGGGATAAATTCTTCATTGTCACACGGCATAGGCGAAGGTATGGGCCAAAGCCAGCCTATAACCACCTCACACTCTATCATCCCATGGAGAGTCATGCCAGGGCCTGCGTACCTGCTGGGTACAGTGTGGGTTCTGTTCTAATAGAGGGACCCTTACCCACTCTGCAGTGCCCTTTTTATAGGGTAGCATGAGTCAGTGGGGGGATACACAAGCTGCTTGGGTTGGGGGTATCAGCAATTTATAGTAGTTATCTGGAAACACTAGCTACCATGCACCTGGAAACCTTGAGGCAGCTGGGATCCTTGGGGTCCATAGGATATTAGGGTCCCTGCTCTTGCCAGGAGAGAAAGCCACCGGTCTCGTGGGAAGTGGGGAGAAAGTAGTTATTTCACTGTCAAAACTGTGGTGAAAACCCAAGGTAATTACCCACCATTCTGCCTCTTGAATTATAATGTATATTAACGTGCCCGGTCAAAGGCAGGCTCTCTGATTTGTGATCTAAGCACTGAAAAAATTTTGTCTTCAGTTAGGCTTTTATAAATTATAAAAGATCCTATAAATCCATAATATCTAGAGCACGCACTAATTTCTCCTTTCTTCTC